CTGTGACCTTGAAAATGGATGAAGGTCATTTATTTGAACAAACTTGGGAGCCCTTCATCCCAGCATGTTACTGGCCAAATATCATCACCCTAAGCCTCTCGGTTATCCAGAAGAAGTTGTTTACAGGTTTTAAACATATTTGACCCCTGTGACCTTGAATATAAGTCAAGGTCATTCATTTGAACAAACCTGAGAATTTGTTATAGCTATATTTGGACCTAAACAAAGGTGTTCAGAGTAATTTTACATGTTTAAGGAGTATATATGATCATTGGGGATGTCATTTTTACTGAAAGTCGATTTTTACTAAACCCCTAAAACATGTAAAATTACGCTGAACACCTTAGTTTAGGTCCAAATATAGCTGTAACAAATTCTCAGGTCATTGTGCTAATGAGCATAACAAAACATCGACTTTCATATAAACAAAGAACAAGAGGCCCAATGGGCCTACATCGCTCACCTGGTATAAATCTCACACTTGTAACCTTAAAAGTGATCTAAAATAAAGCTACAGGCAAAATATCAGTATTTATGATTAAAATTCATTCAAAAGACCCTGTTCTTTTTTTTTAAACATTTCACCCCTGTGATTGAAATCGAACAAATTTTATAGCCTTTCATCTCAGGATGCAACTTGCAAAGTATCAACATCCTGGGACCCATGGTTATTCAGAAGAGGTCGTTTACAGATTTTAAACAAATTTGACCCCCGTGACCTTGCATATGGGGGAGGTCATTCATTTGAACAAACTTTGTAGTCCTTCATCTCAGCATGATATTGGCCAAATATCATCACCCTTGACATTTTGGTTATTGAGAAGAAGTTGTTTAAAGTTTTCAACATATTTGACCCCTGTGACCTTGAATACGGGTGAAGGTCATTCATTTGAACAAACTTTGTAGCACTTCATCTCAGCATGCTACTGGCCAAATGTCATCACCCTGGGCATTTTGGTTATTCAGAAGAAGTTGTTTCAAGGTTTTTTTAAGACAATTGACCCCTGTGACCTTGAAAATAATTGAAGGTCATTCATTTGAACAAACTTGGAAGCCCTTCACCCAAGCATGCTACTGGCCAAATATCATCACCCTGGGCATTTTGGTTATTCAGAAGAAGTTGTTTCAAGGTTTTTTAAGACAATTGACCCCTGTGACCTTGAAAATAGGTGAAGGTCATTGATTCTAACAAACTTTGTAGCCCTTCATCCCAGTTTGCTTCTGGCCAAATATCGACACCCTAGGCCTTTCGGTTATTAAGAAGAAGTCGTTTAAAGTAAAATATTGACGCCGGACGCCGGAGGGACGGAGGACGGACGGACGACGGACGACGGATGCCGCGCCACGGCATAAGCTCACTTGGCACTTTGTGACAGGTGAACTAAAAAGTATTATCCCTACGAGATCATGATGGCGACCTACCCCTATGACATAAAAGATCGCTGGTTGGCTAATTTTTAAACGGACATGATTATGCCAACCCCGCTTAACAAAAATATCATGCCTTGTTAAACCTCTAACAGTGTTGGATTATATGGCAACCATAAAACTTGTCCCTAGTCTTCCTCAATCATTTTCTAGAAACCACGTTGTAAGTTTGTCTGTCAGTAGTCATGTCGTGGATTTCAAGCTCAGGAAGGTATATTGATTGTAAACCCACGGACATATAAAGACATTAAGCAGCAGGGCTATCAACATTTGTTACTGTTGGTATTCTGCTCTATACTGGACTGTTTACATAGGTTATATTCGTAGTACTTTATATACGAAATTGTCACCCTCCATTAGTGTTAGTATTCTGTCCTATCCTAGACTGTCACCCGTGGTTACTGTTAGTTATCTGTCCTATACTACAATGTCACCTATTGTTAATGTTGGTACTCTGTCCTTTCCAGGACTATCAACCTTGGTTACTGTTAGTACTCTGTCCAATACTGGACTAATCACCCTTGGAGACTGTTTGACCTTGGTCCTACATACAGGATTATCACCCTTCATTAATGTTAGTATTCTGTCCTATCATAGACTGTCACCCGTGGTTACTGTTAATTATCTGTCCTATACTACAATGTCACCTATTGTTAATGTTGGTACTCTGTCCTTTCCGGGACTATCAACCTTGGTTACTGTTAGTTATCTCTCCTATACTACAATATCACCTATTGTTAATGTTAGTACTCGATCCTATAAGGAATTATCAACCTTGGTTATTATTAGTAACCTATAATGGACTCTCACCCTTGGTTTCTGTTTGCACTCTGTCCGGCACAAGACTGTCACCTTTAAAGTAACTGTAAGCACTCTCTCCTATACTAAACAATCTCCCGTGGTGAATGTTAGTACTCTGTCCTATACTATCTCCAGTGGTGAATGTTAGTACTCTGTCCTATACTATCTCCAGTGGTGAATGTTAGTACTCTGTCCTATACTATCTCCATTGGTGAATGTTAGTACTCTGTCCTATATTTGAATATCACCATGGGCACTGTTAGTACTCTCTCCAATACTATACTATCTCCAGTGGTGAATGTTAGTACTCTGTCCTATATTTGAATATCACCATTGGGTACTGTAAGCACTCTCTCCTATACTATACTATCTCCAGTGGTGATTGTTAGTACTCTATACTATACTATCTCCAGTGGTGAATGTTAGTACTCTGTACTATATTTGAATATCACCATTGGGTACTGTAAGCACTCTCTCCTATACTATACTATCTCCACTGGTGATTGTTAGTACTCTATACTACACTATCTCCAGTGGTGAATGTTAGTACTCTGTCCTATACTATCTCCAGTGGTGAATGTTAGTACTCTGTCCTATACTATCTCCAGTGGTGAATGTTAGTACTCTGTCCTATACTATCTCCAGTGGTGAATGTTAGTACTCTGTCCTATACTTTCTCCAGTGGTGAATGTTAGTACTCTGTTCTATATAACTATACTATCTCCAGTGGTGAATGTTAGTACTCTGTCCTATACTATCTCCAGTGGTGAATGTTAGTACTCTGTCCTATACTATCTCCAGTGGTGAATGTTAGTACTCTGTCCTATACTTTCTCCAGTGGTGAATGTTAGTACTCTGTTCTATATAACTATACTATCTCCAGTGGTGAATGTTAGTACTTTGTCCTATACTATCTCTAGTGGTGAATGTTAGTACTCTGTTCTATATTACTATACTATCTCCAGTGGTGAATGTTAGTACTCTGTCCTATACTATCTCCAGTGGTGAATGTTAGTACTCTGTCCTATACTATCTCCAGTGGTGAATGTTAGTACTCTGTCCTATACTATCTCCAGTGGTGAATGTTAGTACTCTGTCCTATACTATCTCCAGTGGTGAATGTTAGTACTCTGTCCTATATTTGAATATCACCATTGGGTACTGTAAGCACTCTCTCCTATACTATACTATCTCCCGTGGTGAATGTTAGTACTCTGTTCTATATTACTATACTATCTCCAGTGGTGAATGTTAGTACCCTGTCCTATATTTGAATATCACCATTGGGTACTGTAAGCACTCTCTCCTATACTGAACTGTCTCCAGTGGTGAATGTTAGTACTCTGTCCTATATTTGAATATCACCATTGGGTACTGTTAGCACCCTCTCCTATACTATACTATCCCCAGTGGTGAATGTTAGTACTCTGTCCTATATTTGAATATCACCATTGGGTACTCTAAACACTCTCTCCTATACTATACCATCTCCAGTGGTGAACATTAGTACTCTGTCCTATACTTTCTCCAGTGGTGAATGCTAGTACTCTGTCCTATACTATACTATCTCCACTGGTGAATATTAGTACTCTGTCCTATATTTGAATATCATCATTGGGTACTGTTAGTACTGTCTCCTATATTTGATTATCACCATTGGTTACTGTTAGTACTCTCTCTTATATTTGATTATCACCCTTGGTGATTGTTAGTACACTGTCCTATACTGTTATTACTATCTCGTATACTGAATATCACCATTGGTTACTGATATTACACTGCCCTATACTGAACTGTCTCCCTTGTTTACTTTATTAAGTACTATCTTGTATACTGGATTTTTACCCTTGGTGACTATTTGTACTCTGTTCTGTGCTAGACTGTCATCCTTGGTTTCTGTTAGCATACTCTCCTATACTGGATTATCACCCTTGGTTACTCTGAGTACTATATCATAAATTGGATTATCACCCTTGGTAAATGTAAGTACTCTGTCCTATACTGGACTGTTACCCTTAGTTACTCTTCTAGTACTCTGTCCTGTTACTTATGAACTATCTTCCTTGGTTACTGGTAGCACTCTGTCCTATACAGGACTATCACCTTTATAACTGTCAGTACTATCATGTATATTGAACTGTCTCCCTTGGATACTGTATCGTATACTGAACTGTGTTCATTGGTTACGTTAGTATTATCTTGTATACTGGACTATCACCCTTGGTTTCTCTGTTCTATACATGACTAGCACACTTTGTTTACATTTGGTTCCTCTTATACTAGACTGTCATCCTTGAATGGGGTCACCTTTTTGCACCATTTGTAGCTTCTGCCCCTAGACACTAGACAGCAAGGTAATTTCTGATTACTGTTGTTTCCCTCACTTTGACTATAATTGTTTTACCTGCTATTGCTCTTCGCTATTCTGTGTGTGTCACTTCACGTACACACATTGTTGTGATCAATCATCACAACCAGGTTTGCATATTTATGAGTCTTGAGGGTTGCAAGGTCTGGTAAGATTGTTTAAGCATTTTTTGGCCAAAAAAAATAATTCAATTTAGATTCAAATTCTTCATCACCAAAGTTTTCTGATGGTATTATAGGAGAAATCTGATGACGACAAAGGAACAAATTCAAGGTGAATATTTAAATTATCATCCAATAGAATTTGTATGCATTTCTCAAGCATATAACTCTAGTGGTTACTTCTTTGATGTGTAAGCCCAAGATTTTCCTATGACACTACATTTTCACTATTGAATATTGATGAAAACACATAATTAAGTTTGCTTTCTTTGTTTTAATAAACTGATTTTCTGTGTAAGAAAGTTTTCAATTTTTGCCAAGTTATATATGTAATTACTAAACGTTCTTCTCTGACTCAACTTTTTTTTTTCTAACAACATTCAGAAAAATTGGTAAAATTCAGGTAAAACTCAAAGATTTCCAGATGAAAGATCATTATAAGCCATTTACAGACCAATATACAGCATGTTCATTACAAACGAAAATTTAAAATTATGATTTTTCACAAGTATCTTGTTTTGTGTTCACAACACTGCAGCTGACATTCCTGCAGCATTCGTGTTCACAGCACTGCAGCTGACATTCCTGCAGCATTGGTGTTCACAACACTGCAGCTGACATTCCTGCTGCAAATAGTGAAATAGTTTTGTCTGTCAGTTTATACTGCATGGCTTTCTTCACTTGATGCTTGTGTAGGGAATTATCCTGTGTAATATTCAACTGGAACACAAAAATAACAAAAAATAATTAAAGTATGAAGACACAAACAAAATACAGTAAAATGTCCCAACTATTTTCATTTTTTTTCTTTTTTCTATTCTTATCTTTACGTCACATAAAATTTCGATTTTCAAATGCTAGCAAATAATGAACCTTTTCAAAATAAAAAGTGCACATATATATCTAACTATACATATGGGTCAAAGAAGTAATATAGACGGTAAAATCGCATATAACACTGGATACTAATGGAGGAATGTCCGTAGGATACAAATTAACTATACATACATGTACATGTATACATTCATGTAAAATGATATATATTGTTTTATCTGTTAAATGATTTCATTTGACATTTTCTTCTGATTCTTCCTTTCAATCTCCTCTAACCAATTTTTGTTTGTAGTAAAAGTACACCACCTGTACATATTTTTGTACTACATGTTTGAACTAATTATTACTTTAATTATGTGATATCATTAAGTTATCGCAATATGAATCTTGCCTCTCCATGTACGTCCCTGCAATAGCCACTGCTCAAGCCACAAACTTCTATCTGAAGTGGAAAGAAATGGCACATGTGCTTCCACACTGAAACAGCATCTTCGTCACATGATCCCTTTCCTTTGTTAATGTGTAAAACCAATGTTCCCTCAAGTTTGGAAATATAACTTTGCAAATACTGGATCAAGGAAATGCTGTTTTTCAGTGAGTATCCAGTGCTCAAGAGAACACTTATATCATCAATAATCACTACTGGTGGTTTACTTCGGTCTTTCGTGAAACCATTACATATATTTTCAATATAGCTGTATAATGGGGCTAAGGCATGTTTGGATGTTCCTTTCTCAACAAAGGGGTTGTCTCCCCTGGCCATATTGTCATATTTGTCATCCAGCGTGTAAAATTCTCCCAATGATTTAAGTCCTTCAATGAATGCAAGTTGTCCAGTGTTCCGTTTTGCTGCCAGGTCTAGTCCAAATTTCTTGCTAACTGTATTAAAATGGTTGAACGACTGAACTAACGTCACAAAACAGACAGGGTGGTCATTTCGTAAGAAATAAGACAGGAAATGGTGGATCAAAAAAGTTCCGTCGACATCTGATTCAGAAATGCCTACAGATTTCCCGATGATACTGTCACTAGTCTTGATGTCTAATACGCTGTTCAATTCTGGAAACATGTTTACAGAGGCCGACACCATTCAGCCGCCATCGATCAACTAATAAAGTGAAACTAGCCACAGTTGAAACATATTACAGAATACCAACTAAAAGCGGTCGAGTATTAAGAAATTGTACCGTAGCAATAATTCGCTATTTTATCAACTCAGTTGTAACACATTTTTTTACTAATGAAATAAGGTTAATCCAATAAATATCATTTTAGTTACTAAAACGCTGAAAACATTTACCAACAAGTCCGTCATTTGTGATTCTGAAAATTTAAAAAACCGGAAATTCTACCATAGCTTACCGCGCCATTTGAATTTTAAGATACACGTTTTTTTGTACACCGAAAAGGTAAGTATTGAATAACGGCGTCAAAAAAACTTTTTGTTCAATCATTCTTAGCATTTGTATCAGTTACTTTTAAATATGATAGGATTGTTTATTCTATTCGATAGTTATCGTTAAGGAGTGGTCATATAATGATATGTATATCGAATAATAAACAATCCTATCTCGGGGATTCGGTTTCGGACATTCTGTGAAACTCATCCGTCGGTTCTTTATCTATCTCTATCTATCTACCGTTAATTACCAACTTCAACTGACTGAAGGAATGTCATGTTAGTAGGTATTCAAGCATTAAAAATCTACGTACAGATGTACATGTATTCCAGACACCCGTGTTGAAGGACTTGCATGTATTTACAGTATTATCTTGAATCTTCAAAAGTGTTCCTTTACAGTACAGTAAGTATATTATACTTCACATGCCAAAACGTTTTTAATGCGGAGGGGTTAACTACGCATGCTATTCTTAGGAATGCTGTTGAATATATTGAAATCAGAGTGGACTGTGATTATCATTGATGTCCGTGAAATATATAAATTGAAACGAAATATGGTAACGGGTTGTTTCGCCCTAAATCCCGTTCGCGCTAAGGGTTGTTTCGCCCTTAATCCGGTTCGACCTAAATACTTTTTGTCTCATGATCATAGCACATGAGAAATGCATTTGTTTTGGAATGGTGATGTGTTTACAATATGATAACATTCACATAAAACACCAATATTATATCATAAATAAATGTGATTTATAAATTGTGTTGAGCAAGTTGCCTCCTTTTCAGTAATACCAGGGCCAGTATATTGACTTGAATTTATACATTATACGTCCCTGGTAATATGTATACCCGACCACACTCTAAGTTGTTCTTTTTTCATGTAATTATCATTTTGTTGCAATTGGTTGGTGATTCTGTTCTATTTTTTTTGTATTATTATTATTATTAAAGATATATTTAGTATGAATTACAAGGCAAAACAGACATGTAATTACTATAATATACATTGGTTTTGAACATAAGTATTGATGATATTGTTATCTTATACATACTTCTGTATCCGTACGTATCTGTCGGTATACGGCACAGGGTCCCTCAGGACATGTATCGCGTCGGGGGAGGAGTGCTAGGTAATTATCTAGTAGTTCTGAAGGGTGTCAATAGTAGTCTTATTGAAGAAAAAGTTTTTAAATTGTTCTGTTTTACAATTCTGGACTTTGAAACACTTAGAGTTATTATAGGTGTAATTTTCAACAGTATTATTATAATGATAGTCACTAAAATTCCGCAAACAAATTTTACGTTTATTTCTGGCAACTGGTGTCAGGAACTCATGCGAAGGTAAGGCTGGCACCACACCCTCATCCACTTCATAGAACATAACCAGGCGAAGCATACAACGTCGTTTTGCTAGTGGGGACAGGCCCGCGTCTCTTAACATTTTGGTCACACAGATATCCTTCCTCTCGTGAACGAAAGTCTCCAGAGATAAACCTTGCTGCCATCATTTGCACTTTCTCAAGTCTGATTATGTCTTGATGTATGTAGGGGTCCAAGACGACTGATCCGTACTGGTGATACCACTTGGTAAGGACTTTCGGAAGTCTGTTGTAAGATGTGTTCACCAAGTTTGTAAAACTGAGGTTTCTTGCTGTCTATAAGCAGAACGGTACACTTCTTAGCATTGAATGACATCCCCCATGCTTCAGCCCATTTAATACTTAAATCATTTGTCTTCACAGATTCAATATGACTTATGACTTTCCATTAAAACCATGGGAAAGTTGTTTGTCATTCCTGAAGGAGGATTACCAGATACGTGTGGAGGAGATGGATTTCAGGAAACCAGATGTAAGTATTTTACATATATAGGCCTATCCTTAATTAGTAATATATGTTTACTAGTACTTGCGCAGTATTTATTAAACTAGAAAGGGGGTCAGGGTTGAGGTTTGATGTTGAAGTTGTACTGGTATATAATTTCAATACTTCCAATGTCATAATTATGCTTCTAGCAAGTAAGCTAGTGAGTAGCTAGAGTGCATAAAGTTCCATCCAAAGTGAGTCATTTACTTTTTTTCATTTATATAATGATATATTTATAGTTTGATGATCTTATTTAAGCGTATCATTTAATTTAGCGTACATGTAGGTACGTATACATACTACATAGATTGAGTTTTCTCAAGACCCCTCCAACACACACTTTGACACACATATATATATATAGTCTTTAGATGTGTATCATGGTCAGATTAAATTAAGTTAATGGTGATGTGTAAGGAAATTATTTAAAAAGTTAATCCATTTTCCTGTATTGTTTATTTTTAACAGGCAAACCGATGGCAGAATATCTACTGTCAACTATTGGAACTTATGACTGAAGTACCTGTGGACAGTATCATACAGGTGAGTATTGGATTTTCCACACACTTAGCAACAGGTGCAGTATATATATGTACATGTATGCACATAAAGAATTTCTGTATGTTTTCTTTTCTCATTATGGTATACATGCTCAAAACCAGCTGTTATATACTGTTATATGCTCTCTTAAAAAGTACATTCTATGCACCTCCGGAATATGTCATGACAAATCATTGTTCATAATGATACATTTGTCTAATTGGCTTTCAACTGTGACAAATTATGGAGAACAAATGGTTTATACAACATATTTAATCATGTTTGTTATGTTGAGAATTTGGATCTTGTCTATTACTTTAACTGAAATTGAAATACCTAATGAATATGTCATTTTAATATTAATTAGTGATTTAAAAGTTTTGCTGCTGTTTGAATGATGAATGTCACCAAATAGAAAATGTTGCAGAAATTGTTAAGTGCCCAATCTTCCACCAACAACTTTAAAGTGAGAGATCCTCTGAAGGTTGGCAGACCTGATAACATTCAGTCTATATAAACAACATCGTTAATGCTTCTTTCCCATCCTTCATTGAAAAGTGTCAACCTTTCCATCTTTGCTATACAGGTATATTTTTGTTTTACTATTTTATATTTCAGAAAGCCCTTTTCCAATCATCTCAGTGCTTTGAACACTCAGAACTGTACGAAGAGACCATGCCCCTGATGATCGTCACCTTGGCTTTGTATGTACATTTGTTATATCGTAAATAGTGTATATATACATATATGTGCATTTTATTGAAGTTGAAATTGTTCTTATAGTTTCTTTAAACTTCAAAATATCTATGGAGCAGGTATTTAACATCTGAAATACCACCTTTCAATGGTAAAATAAATCAGTTAAAATTTTGATTCTTTGTTGTAAGTTGCTACATGTTCTTAAGGTTTATTCTGCATTCAAACAATTTTATTTGTAAAAAACTATTATTAACCAAAATGTATTAAATATAATATTCTCTTTTGTGCCATGACAATCCAAATGAATAAATGGATGTAAATGTGAAATTCAAAGTTTACAAATTGAAGACTGGTTGGTCATCCTTTGTCAGTAGGTTCTATATTGCCTTCAAGTCATCATGTAGTTATATTCAAAAGTACAATGAAATGAAATTGAATTGGTAGTACATGTAGTTGAAGTGCTAGTCAGCACTAACTATTCTGACCTTGACAGGCAGCGGTTCCTTGTGACATGTGGCATCTTGGACTTCAGTGTCAAGGATCTACAGGCACCAAGTAAGTATTGGCATAAACCTGTTTCATTCTCCTACAAAAAAGAGTAGTTCTGTTCCCTGTCCCCTGTGTATACAGGCACCAAGTAAATTACGACCTAGTAGATCAACTCCCTGTCCCTTGCAGACACTTAAGTAAGATATGTCCCAGTAGATCCAACCCGTCCCCTACAAGCACTAAGTAAGATATGTCCTACTAGATCCAACCCGTCCCCTACAAGCACCAAGTAAGATATGTCCCAGTAGATCCAACCTGTCCCCTACAAGCACTAAGTAAGATATGTCCCCATAGATCCAACCCGTCCCCTACAAGCACTAAGTAATATATGTCCCAGTAGATCCAACCCGTCCCCTACAAGCACTAAGTAAGATATGTCCTACTAGATCCAACCCATCCCCTACAAGCACTAAGTAAGATATGTCCTACTAGATCCAACCTGTCCCCTACAAGCACTAAGTAAGCTATGTCCTACTAGATCCAACCCGTCCCCTACAAGCACTAAGTAAGATATGTCCCCATAGATCCAACATGTCCCCTACAAGCACTAAGTAATATATGTCCCAGTAGATCCAACCTGTCCCCTACAAGCACTAAGTAAGATATGTCCTACTAGATCCAACCCGTCCCCTACAAGCACTAAGTAAGATATGTCCTACTAGATCCAACCCATCCCCTACAAGCACTAAGTAAGATATGTCCTAGTAGATCCAACCTGTCCCCTACAAGCACTAAGTAAGATATGTCCTACTAGCTCCAACCCGTCCCCTACAAGCACTAAGTAAGATATGACCTACTAGATCCAACCCATCCCCTACAAGCACTAAGTAAGATATGTCCTACTAGATCCAACCTGTCCCCTACAACCACTAAGTAAGATATGTCCCAGGAGATCCAACCTGTCCCCTACAACCACTAAGTAAGATATGTCCCAGGAGATCCAACCTGTCCCCTACAACCACTAAGTAAGATATGGCCTACTAGATCCAACCTGTCCCCTACAAGCACTAAGTATGTTATGTACTACTAGATCCAACCCATCCCCTACAAGCACTAAGTAAGATATGTCCTAGTAGATCCAACCTGTCCCCTACAAGCACTAAGTATGTTATGTCCTACTAGATCCAACCTGTCCCCTACAAGCACTGAGTAAGATATTAAGATATGTCACCATAGATCCAACATGTCCCCTACAAGCACTAAGTAATATATGTCCCAGTAGATCCAACCTGTCCCCTACAAGCACCAAGTAAGATATGTCCCAGTAGATCCAACCTGTCCCCTACAAGCACTAAGTTAGATATGTCCTACTAGATCCAACCCGTCCCCTACAAGCGCTAAGTAAGATATGCCGCAGTAGATCCAACCTGTCCCCTACAAGCACTAAGTATGTTATGTACTACTAGATCCAACCCATCCCCTACAAGCACTAAGTAAGATATGTCCTACTAGCTCCAACCCGTCCCCTACAAGCACTAAGTAAGATATGTCCTAGTAGATCCAACCTGTCCCCTACAACCACTAAGTAAGATATGTCCCAGGAGATCCAACCTGTCCCCTACAACCACTAAGTAAGATATGTCCTACTAGATCCAACCCGTCCACTACAAGCACTAAGTAAGATATGTCCCAGTAGATTCAACCTGTCCCCTACAAGCACTAAGTAAGATATGCCCCAGTAGATACAACCTGTCCCCTACAAGCACTAAGTAAGATATGTCCTACTAGCTCCAACCCGTCCCCTACAAGCACTAAGTAAGATATGTCCTAGTAGATCCAACCTGTCCCCTACAACCACTAAGTAAGATATGTCCCAGGAGATCCAACCTGTCCCCTACAACCACTAAGTAAGATATGTCCCAGGAGATCCAACCTGTCCCCTACAACCACTAAGTAAGATATGTCCCAGGAGATCCAACCTGTCCCCTACAACCACTAAGTAAGATATGTCCCAGGAGATCCAACCTGTCCCCTACAACCACTAAGTAAGATATGTCCCAGTAGATCCAACCCATCCCCTACAAGCACTAAGTAAGATATGTCCTACTAGATCCAACCCGTCCCCTACTCCCAGTAGATCCAACCTGTCCCCTACAAGCACCAAGTAAGATATGTCCCAGTAGATCCAACCCGTCCCCTACAAGCACTAAGTAAGATATGCCCCAGTAGATACAACCTGTCCCCTACAAGCACTAAGTAAGATATGTCCTACTAGATCCAACCCGTCCACTACAAGCACTAAGTAAGATATGTCCCAGTAGATCCACCCTGTCCCCTACAAGCACTAAGTAAGATATGTCCCAGTAGATCCACCCTGTCCCCTACAAGCACTAAGTAAGATATGTCCTACTAGCTCCAACCCGTCCCCTACAAGCACTAAGTAAGATATGACCCAGTAGAACCAACCAGTCCCCTACAAGCACCAAGTAAGATATGTCCCAGTAGATCCAACCCGTCCCCTACAAGCACTAAGTAAGATATGTCCTAGTAGATCCAACCTGTCCCCTACAACCACTAAGTAAGATATGTCCCAGGAGATCCAACCTGTCCCCTACAACCACTAAGTAAGATATGTCCCAGTAGATCCAACCCATCCCCTACAAGCACTAAGTAAGATATGTCCTACTAGCTCCAACCCGTCCCCTACAAGCACTAAGTAAGATATGACCCAGTAGAACCAACCAGTCCCCTACAAGCACCAAGTAAGATATGTCCCAGTAGATCCAACCCGTCCCCTACAAGCACCAAGTAAGATATGTCCCAGTAGATCCAACCCGTCCCCTACAAGCACTAAGTAATATATGTCCCAGTAGATCCAACCTGTCCCCTACAAGCCCTAAGTAAGATATGCCCCAGTAGATCCAACCTGTCCCCTACAAGCACTCAGTAGATCCAACCTGTCCCCTACAAGCACTAAGTATGTTATGTCCTACTAGATCCAACCCATCCCCTACAAGCACTAAGTAAGATATGTCCTACTAGATCCAACCCGTCCCCTACTAGCACCAAGTAATATGTCCAAGTAGATTCAATCTGTCCATTTTATACTTCATTTCATGGTTATTTCATTTTTTCCGAATCATATAGATTTACTGTTAAAATGTCTTTTCATAAAATACATTCGTTTACTTTTGTAAGTATTATTTTCTTCTTTTCAGCACCTGGAAGAGTCACAAAGATCTGCAGTGCTGTCATCAATTTCATGTTATTCAGAAATAAACAGATGGAAGTTTTTCTGAATTTGAAGGAAAAAAATGTAATTTCATCAGACCACATATATATGCATTGATACTTTAGATAAATAATAATTATAATTCAAGGTTCTTATATACCACTTCATCACAACCTAGTTGGTAGGTCGTCTCGAAGCGGTTCACAAATTATTATCCATGGTTATAGGGCCTTTGCAACCAGCCAATATCTTTCTCAACTCCCTGGGGAGCATACAGCCGGTGCTGCCATTTCGCCGCTAACAGCTAGCATTCAACAAATAAGCACTGCCCAACCACATACTCATTTACAGCTGAGTAGACTGGAACAAGTGGAGTAAAGTATCTTGCTCAATGATACAACACAGTGCCATACCGTGACTTGAACCTGCAACACTTGTATACAGTGAAATTTAACTTTACCGGTGTCCCTAGCTGTAAAAGCCTAATACTTCACATTGGTAATTTATGTGTAAAACACAGACTTGTGCTGTGATAAATTTGTTTAGTGTATATACATATAAGTCATCAATGCAACTAGGTTAAAAATCTTAAATGTAATGTATTCAATTTGGATTCAACAATTAACAGAAGACTTCACCGATAATACAACTAAAGTTAATCACAAACTAGTACTGAAAACATAGTTAACAATTTCGAGAATTTCCTATCCTGGATTCCACTATACTTTACTGTCATGCTTTAAATGTATTATTTGAAATATAATGCATTTATGTATACCTTTTTATTAATGTATCTACCTTTTAAATTTAACTTTGAAAATGTGTGTTGTGTGTTTTATGCCATTGTGATCCTATTCTGATGTATCTTTGCAACTATGGGGACAGCTTGGGGGACTTAGTACTTGAAACTGTGTTGTCAACATTTCCTTATTTGACATTGATCAGGTTATTTGAACAAGAATGTTGTAAAACTTCAGTATACTCCTTTTAGCTGGAACTTATCAGTACTTACAATCAAAACGACAGATTGAACAAGAATAGGTTCTCAACATTTTAGTGTCACTTTACACTATATGGTGAAGTGACGTTAACTATTCTGATTTTGTTGTTATTTTGTCCACCATTGTTTTGGACAATTTTTTCAGGAAATAAATCGAAGTTTGATACAGGATAACCTTAAGTCAAGTTATACAGAAAAGAATATTATAATGTAAAGAACAATTGTGTGTTCCTGGTATGTAATAAAAGCAGTACTGCATGTTGTTACCTGTTCACACAGATAAGTAGGTGGACACACACAGCCACTCGTGCACTAAACACACTTGTGGATGAAATGGTCCACACAAGAACTTGTGCTGTCTGTTAATATAGTTCCCATAGATACAGTATTACCTTGTGTGTTTATGCTCATCCAGGAGAAATTCCGGGAACAACATGAGGGTCTCTTACAAGCTAATGAGGATCTAAAGCGAAAGATAAATGCTATCAAGACAGAAAAGGCCAAGCAGGAGCCCGCTATACGATCTGTAAGTTTTATTCTTATTTAACATAATCAGAAAATTAATGTTTGTCAGATTTAAAAACTGAGTTTGAAATAGATACATGATACTATGGAGAAAAAAAATTGAAAACATGGACATCTCTTTCATGTTTTATGGAGTGTATGTATTGACTTGAAACATTCTCTTTTTTGAACAGATTCAAGAAGAATATGAACAACTCCAAACTGACTTACAGGGGAAGATGAAGATCAAAGCTCAGCAGCAACAACCAATCAGTGAGCTGAGAATCACGATAGCAGAGAAGAAATCACAGTTGGTGAGTGTTAGATCATATCACTACATTCAGGTAGTATTTCACGTTTGTCAGTACTAACTTAAATCACTACATTCAAGTAGTGGATCTTATGCCAGGTGTTCAGGTATAATGTTTGTGTTAGATAAAATCACTTCATCTGAACGAGTCATTCCATGATCTTAGGGTCTCTCTATAGATTTATTGTGTCGCAGGCGAGACAATAAATCTATAGACTGATGTGTTGCATTTCCGGCGGTTTCAACGTTAAAGTTTTTGCGTTTAGCTCTGTTCCTCAAAAAGTATAAGTGCTAGACCAACCAAACTTGAACCATACATGCATCTTACATAATTCACCTCAATCCATGTATCTGTTGCTCTACATTTGGTGGTCCAGTGACTTTGATCTCATCTTCATCAATGTTAAGTTATTGTATTTAGCTCTGTTTCTCAAAAAGTATAAGTGCTAGACCAACCAAACTTGGACCATGCATGCATCTTATATTCATAACCCATGGATTATACTGCATGCATTCCATGATCTTAGGGTCTCTCTATAGATTTATTATACAGGTCTATGTACATGTTTCTGTACTGTAGGATCAAGTCGTCCAAACAAGTCATTCCATGATCTTAGGGTCTCTCTATAGATTTATTATACAGGTCTATGTACATGTTTCTGTGCTGAAGGATCAAGTCGTCTAAACGAGTCATTCCATAATCTTAGGGTCTCTCTATAGATTTATTATACAGGTCTATGTGCATGTTTCTGTGCTGTAGGATAAAGTCGTCCAAACAAGTCATTCCATGATCTTAGGGTCTCTCTATAGATTTATTATACAGGTCTATGTACATGTTTCTGTGCTGAAGGATCAAGTCGTCTAAACGAGTCATTCCATAATCTTAGGGTCTCTCTATAGATTTATTATACAGGTCTATGTGCATGTTTCTGTGCTGTAGGATAAAGTCGTCCAAACAAGTCATTCCATGATCTTAGGGTCTCTCTATAGATTTATTATACAGGTCTATGTACATGTTTCTGT